ACTATAGAACCCATTTAGTAAAATCATTACAGTAACACACACTGAAAAAGTTATTTTTTTTTTAAAATGGAACAACTAATAAAGTGTTTACCAGCTGAATAAAAAGAGACAGGTGCTTTTCTAATAGAATTTGTCGGATGATAATGTCCAGATAAAAATGAGACTCCTTTGGGGAGATGAGGGGGGAGGAGAGTAATCTCTCAAGTAGTCGGAGGTATTTCCATATTTCCAGCCAGTCTGGGTCACTGGAGTTCTGTCTTCCCTTCCTTTTTTTTTCTTCTATGTTTTGACACATTAATATTCACCACATGCCCCGTCAGATCTCTCACAGCCGCGCTTCATTTTAATGTCTTTGTGGTGTGAGCAAACSATGCGTACAGCTGCTGCTGTCAGACAGTCCTTCCCTCTGTGTCTTGGCCTGGATGTGTAACCAAACAGGCCTGTGTCGGAAAACAAGAACCCACGAGCTCAGCCAAACACTTCAGCGAGCAACTAAACACCACTTTCTATAGAAGCAGACTACAGTTTGATTTCATCTGACATCCTGGTTGTCTCYGACTGGGTCTTCGTGTGACAGAAGTTAGGATGTAGTTACAGAAAATTTACACTAAAGGAAATATTAAAAACACTTTATAAATTGGAGGTTTTAAAAAGGTGCTTTTCCTCTTTCCTATAAGCCCTGGTTTGGCTCTGATTGTAGAGATACAACTCTGACTATTATGGATTGAATTCCTTGTGAGGAAGGATACAGCAGTGTATTAGGTGAAGTTCTCTTACCCGCAGGTAATTTAATCGTTTCTGGATCTTCCAGAAGTCAGGAGTTTGGGTTGTGTTACTCTTTGGATTGGAATATGGCTGCTCTTCTTCCTCACTCTCAGAGGAAGTCTCACTGAAATGTTCTAGAAAGGCAGCTCGTGCCGGGGACTTCCTGAAAACAAACAGATTTGAACACACCGCGGACTACAGATACAGTAGCAAGACAAACAGGTGAGACAAACAAAACATTCTGATCATCCGTATCCACACATTATTGTTCCTGAAATGTAAATTTTAGGTTTGACTTTCCATAAGATTTAAGCAGCAGGAAAACAAAGATTGGAATAAAGTCACAGGAGGACTGGAGCTGTCATCATATCCAGGACAAAGATTCTTGTTAAAGACACTGATGTGACCAGAAATGCACATGTGTTTAATGTTGCAGCTTTTATCTTGATAACTGGGCACTGTGGAGCAGTGAAATGTGGTCCATGTTCAAATGAGGCCCATGAGAGCCTCTTCCCATCTACTGTACATCCAAATAGCATTTCCAGGGTCACATATGATCTGAATGGGAATGTTTTCCAGGACGCTGCACGATAAACAACAAAGAAAACGTTTCCAGAGCTGCAGTGTCCTGACTGCTGCGAGGCCAGTAGTGGACCTGAATGAAGGGACCCTCGAGTYTTTGTCTCATGAGCTGAAAATGATGAGCAGCAAAGAATGCAATCAGAGACCAGTGATTTGAATCATCTCTGTTGATTATACAAGCAGTTTGTTTACGTTGGCAGGTTCAAGAATGGAGACGGCTGAAGAGCTGGAGCCAAAATACAAGAAGGGAAAAGTTTTTMTTCAGGTYCATGTTCAGTGAAACGTTAGGATGTGACTCCAGATTTTACTGCTGCTTAAACAAAGTTCACTTAGTTTAGTCACAGTTTAATTAATCTTAACAACCAATTTAAACTGTTCAATTTCCTCAGATTTTATTATTTGCTGTTAATTGTATCTATTATCTTATCATTATTCTTCCTTTCACAAGGGTTTACTGCTGGTCATATCCAGCAGTCACTGTGCGAGGCGGGGTAACCCCTGACATGTCGCACTGCATTTATGAATTCTTAATACACAACAAAAGATATTCTGTATGGGTGGATGAAAAATATGCTATAGAAGGCTTTTATGGAAGCTGAAAAAAGGTATGCTGTAAGGGCGAACCACTTGTTATTTCACTTCATTTGAGAAGATTAGACTATAAAGTAGTATTTTCAACTTAGTTTTAGATGGCAAATTTTAGAAATGTTTCATACAAAATTTATTCAATTTTCTTTTGAACATCTGCCCCAATCTTTTTACTTTGCATTAAAACATCAATGATTAAATAAGATAAGATTGTCAGTTAAAAATAAACTTCAGCTACAAATTTATTTTATGTCTCAGAGTCTGTAAGGGCATTTAATTATGCCAAGTTGCCCCTACCCCCTCGTCACCTTTGAACCTGTTCTGCTGCAGCCCCTCATTTATAATATTCTTGTATATTTTCTTGTTTCCAGAGCTCAGACTGGGGTTTTTTTTCCACTACTTCACTGTAAAAGTTTGCAAAACGTCATAATGTTGCCTCTATTTGAAAGCTGGTATTTTGGTATGTGTGGATTTTGACAAAAAGATATTAAAACCAAACACTTACTTCTTCCTGGAAGACAAGCGTCCGGGAGAAGAAGACACAGTGAGGTCTGTTTCCATCTTGGCCTTTGGTTCCAGCCTTTTCTTGTTTCTAGAGCTCAGACTGGGTTTTTTTCCCACTGCTTTACTGTAAAAGTTTGTAAAAAGTCATTATGTTGCCTCTATTTGAAAGCTGGTATTTTGGTATTGTGGATTTTGTCAAAAAGATATTAAAACCAAACACTTACTTCTTCTTGGAAGACAAGCGTCCAGGTGAGGAAGAAAAAGTGAGGTCTGTTTTCATCTTGATCTTGGCCCCTGGTTCCAGCCTTTTCTTGTTTCCAGAACTCAGACTGTTTTTCTCCCACTGCGTCACTGTAAAAGTTTGAAATAAGAGTCATTTATATTTTTATAATCATACATATTTAACAATCCAAGACCAGGTTTCAGCTGGTATGTTTAGTGACTGAGCTCATATATATATATATACAGTGGTTTGCAAAAGTATTCATACCCCTTGAACTTTTCCATATTTTGTCACATTACAACC